CATCCTGGGGCTCTGCAGGGCTTGAAGCAGAACAACCCAGGAGTAGAGCTCAGTTAGATAATTCCACACTTTGGATACTTTGTCCTCAGCTCCATAAAGTCATTTGCTTCCCCAGGCCCTGGGAACTGCTCCTGTGCTCCTCCTGTGCAGCCGAGGGCACCCACAGACACTGCTCTGGCCTGAGGAACAGCATAACCAGCTGGGAATGTGACGGCTGTGCTGGTCTGGGAACGGGTAAGAGGCAAAGCTCCCTGGTGAGCCTGGGCCAGGTGGCCCTGCGCCTGGCATTGGGCGCCCAGGCTGGGTTTGGCAGAGCCTGTCTGCTCCAGGACAGCCGGGGACACTGCTCTGGCTTATCCTGTCCTGGGTCTGGGGTGGCCTTGACATTCCTGCTTCCCCTTCCAGCCTCCAGAGATGATTTGGAACTTGCTGGCCCCAGCACAGCCAGACTGTCAGGATTGGAGCCTTCGGAGGTCTCCGGAGAACCTGAGACCATCAGCCCCAACACAGGCAGCCTGGTGTTGTCAGGGCTGTCTCCCAGTTCTCCAGCACTGGACACCATCAGCCCCAGCACCAGCAACCAGGTGCCATCCCCTGGATCTTCAGCTCCAGAGACCAACAACCTCCACACCAAACCACAGTCAACATCGGAGCAGTCTCTGGAATCTCCCTCACAGGAGACGAGCAGCTCCAGCCCTGACAGTCAGGTAACGTCGGGGTCATTCCACAGCAGCTTCCCAGACACCGAGGACAGCAGCAGCTCCAGCAGTCGGAGGCCTGACCACCGGCGAAACCACTCCCACCGGCAACGTCGGGCACGCAGTGCACAGCTTCGGTCCAGAAGTCCCCACGACAGGACCCACGTGCCAGAACCAAGCCCTGGGAGGCGCAGGCCCAGGCTGACACAATCAGGGGAATCCCGCAGGCGAAACCGCTCCCGCCTGCAAAGTGAGACCCCAAATCCTTCTGGCCGGTCCAGAAGTCGCCGTGACCGGAGCCGTGTGAGAGCACCGA